GCTGCCGAATAGGGCCTGAAGATTTGCGCTGAGGTGCTCGACTATATCGTGCAACTGAGGCTTTAGCCCGTTACCGCCAAGGCATCTATGAGTGATATGTCACTCGGTCTAAGCACTCGACACCTGACTCGCGCTGATATTATGACGCTCTCCGCGCTAAAGGAGTGTAGCGATAAGCTCAATAATACCCTTGTCCAGCTAAGGGCTCATGAGGACATCTCGGACAACTAACTGCTAGCAGGAGGACGAGTCGAACGACCACTTTAAGAGCCCCGAACACTTTCAGCGCCAAACGGCGACGCCCAGAGGCTTACGGGGGAGTACGAGAGTGTAAAGCAATGCCTGAGGATTTACTCAGGCGCATCCAAAACGGTTTCATCTGGGGCAGTATATATGATAAAGGATGTTACTATAGCTAAGGAGGGGCAGCAGATGCTAATTGCGATGCTCGGCGAACTGTTTGAGGCAAATAACGTTTAAATCGGGGAAGGCGCACTGCAGGTAGTGGCCTTGATATTAGATGAGATAGTACGGGAACTATTTAAGGCCTACGCGCAGAGGTAGCTATAGAGTGGCGCTATTGTTATATAGGGGGGCCTTAATAAACTTTGATGTGGAGATGTCGCTTCCATCTTGATTGCTACCTATCCTTAATAAAGGTTAACCAGACCCAACCGTTTGTCTAGGTCCCAAGAAGGAAGATGTAGGGCTGCGTTTCCCTTCCGAATTCTTGCCTCTATCCCCCTGTTTACTTCTATCTTGATGATTGATTGCGTCTCGGTGACGGATAGTCGAGAAAAGCTCTTGGATTGACGCATCACTCATCCTCCCTAGGCATTGCTAACCCTCCTTATTGATTTCCACTCCCTTGAGATATAAAGTCTAGATATTAGTCGAGACTAAGAGCTGTATTGCCTTTCGCTTCATATTGATGTCTTCTAGGTGATGTTTTAGGTAGTATGGCTGTTCGACGGGGGGATTCGGGATGTTGCTTGAAGGAGAGGGGGTTTGCTGATGGTGTGGGGGATCCCCTTGGCACGGAGGAGATGGAGCTCTGGGTTCTTGACTTATCCTGAGCCGAAGGTAGAAGTCCTAGATAGATCGATATATGAGCCTAGCATAGGCAAAGGATAAAACGCGCGTATGAAAGTCGCCGATTTAATGCCTGTCGACCGACGGAGGGGTTATTTTTTTCTTATATAGCGGTAACCTCGGTAAGTCATATTAGGAATGCATAGTCACGTGCTAGGGAAAACTGGGGTATGAAGCAATAAGATGGGAGGCAGAGAGCCTAGGAGAAGGTATCATTCTGCCTTTTTATTAGATAAGTTAATATTAGTAAAATATATTAGCTATCTTAGTTTATATATATGCTTTGGGGATTACGATTACTTGCGAAGAAGGCTAGGATATCTAGATATATCAATAGGGAAAGACTATAATTAACGGAAGTATAATACTTTCCGTAATGCTATGTGGCTAATGCTATTTGTTCTGACTTCCCTCCTTAAGCGCTTCTATAGCGCCCCTCAGATTATACTTATAATCTTTTCTATAGTAGTTTAAGAGCTTAAGAATAGGTAAATAGAGAGATAAAGTTAAATGCCCTTGACTATATTATGGTCCGGGGCAACAATTGATCTAATCTTAGTATCGCGGTTTTCTATTCAGGGCCTTAGCGCACTGCCGTTTTTAAATCCCACCCAGGGTCTGCTATAGCTGATTTATCTGTCAGCTTTTTATATTGAAGCCATTAGCAGTAGGAATATTGTCATACTACAACTCCGGGACTTCCAACCAACCAATTATATTTCCTCATATATACTCACCACACTCAGCATCTTTCAGTATAGTACACGTGATTACGCGATTATATATTGCCCCTCCTCGCGTTGCATGGCAATTCGCGACTCTCACCTTACAACAAGGCCAAAACCCATATAAAGCTAGACCGACTTCACTAGGCCTCCCCTCCTTACCCTTATACCCTCAAGTCTACTATAAAGTACGGTAATATCCCTCCTTCAAGAGTTTCAGTAATAGATAAACTTATATTTCTTTCCGAACTTAAGAGTAAAGAGCACTTCAGCCCATACTAGGAAGCGCTCTTCCCCAGCGTTACCGATGATAAATCTTCTCGCGATAAAGCTCAGGTCATTCTCAAAGGACACTTCCCAGACATATATGGCAAGTATGAGGCATTCCTAAAAAGTAAGAAACCGCCGCCTGCTCTGCCGCATATGCCGGCCTTTGAGCTTCGCCCTTAGCACCTGCCCCTTAGAGTATAGGACTGGCTTGCGGAGGCCTTGCTATTCATCAACGGTACGGGTGAGGGTCGGCCCTCCTCGCTCGTCCTTATTGGACCTCCCGGATGCGGGAAGACTATATTGGCTCTGACCTTTGGCCGCCCGGCTTTTATGGTAGATCGTTGGGATGTGGATGAGGTGCGGAGGCCCGGTATCACTCACGTCGTACTAAAGAACGTCAGCTTGCAAAATCTGTCATGCAAGCGGCATCTGGCTGGCTGTCAAATGCAGCTTTTCGTTGAGGAATAAGATGGAAGTAGCATGACCATACCTTTCGGACATCTAATCATTTGGGTATGTAGCCTAGATATGAGCCCTCTCAATGATCCAGAGGTAGGAGCGTATATGAACGGCCCTGGCTCTGGCACCGTCATCGTGAATATTACGGATAAGTTGTATGGGTGATTATTAAGTCTAGGGGTTTAAAGGTTATTGCGCTAGCTTAAATTGATGCTCCGACTTGGTATATTCTTGATCATACTAGCCGTCATATATACATCTTTGCCGGACTTATATAAAAGCCCTACTTCTTATTCCCTTATAATCTCCTTAACTACTAGCTATGGTTTAAATGGCTATCCGAAATTCTTATTATATGAAGAAAGAAAATAGGCAAAAAAAAAAAAAAAATTGAAGTTATAATAATTAAGAACCCTAGATTATGTGTTTGACCATAGAGCAGAGAATGTAGAAGAAGCGGGCCTGGATGAAATATCCTTCCCGAAGACAAAGAGAACAGTTCATCAAGCTTACTATAACTTAGTTTTACTTATAATATTACTCACTATAACCCGCAAATTCGTCCTAGGTCTTAATTAGAGTATATTATACGCCCACTTATGCGGCCCGATGAGTTGGCCGACTGAATCTATAAAATATCACGCATAGTTCATAGGTAATCGATTAATCAATAAGTTTTATTTAGTTATTAGTTTAACTACTATCTCGAATAATACTCGAGTACCTATCCACCCATTCCTGCTTATTGCTTTTAAATACGCACCCAATAAAGTTTCTTAGCTCCTTCATAAGAAATATTAAGTCGTCGCGAAGCTTATAGAGCTCATCTTGCGGCGCGAGGCACGATTCATAATTCCGCGGGCTATCTCGACTGCCTTTAACTTAGATCTAACCTAATTCTCGAAGAAGTCGATTATTGACTCCCTTATGTTCTGCAGTTCAACATGATGACGATTAGCTTTAGTATGCAGACCGTGATAGATCGTGTCGTATAGGCAAGATCTTTAGAGACGGGACCCAAGGGGGGGAAATAAATAGATAGCTCACCGATCTTCTTTGTCATCTCAGAGACTCGCAACACTTGCCCGTCATCTTTCTCCCACGGGAATGCTTCTGGCCGCAGGAACCAGAGCATTCTCGTCACTATATTTGCTGCCAGTAGGGCCGGGTCTCTTCGCTTAGTCATGGCGCTAAAGACCTTTATATTAGGCTAGACCTCTAGAGTCGCACTTAATGCCGTAATGGTTAAGGTTAGAATGAGCATGAGATCGCATAATGGATCCTCGAGGCAGTCTATTAGACAATAGTACGCTACGTAGTAGTGAGATAGTATACGCTGATCTCCTTTAGCGAATATCCGTCGTAGCTCGTTGAACCCCTTGTTCACGATGTCGGGTACCTGTTTGAATGGGATCTTATAACTAAGGTCGATCCGCGGCCGTATTCTCGCTCGCTTGCCATCGACTGGCCTGGCCGCTATGCGAGCCTCTGCCTCTAATGCTCGCCGCTTAAGACTATTTGGCCGAGCTGCGAGCACCGTCGCTGACGTTACCGCCCCGACGAGCTGTATTACTTGCTGATGTGTTAACCTTCGACGATGAGAGCTAGGCACCCATTTAATCTTCGTAGATACTATGGCAGCTGCGATGCCTAAGACCCACTGCGCCCTTGTTGTAAAGCCACCCCTGGTGTGTTCGATGGCAGCCCGGAGGATAGAGGGCCAGGTGGAATGAGTCGGTGCGATGGATTCGATTCCTAGGCGACCTTTCTTACTGCCTTCTATCAATGCTATATATATCTCCTCGGCAAAGTCTCGTCGAGTTTTTAAAACTATCTTCGAGTCATTGGTCGAGCGGTTATCGAATTTTAGAACCTTAACTGAGAGTTTCTTAAAGCTCCTATGATTAGAAAAACGTATGGTTAGCATAGCTCTCTTAATTAATTATCGGAAAAAAAAGTGAGGTGGAAAGGCCCAGGGAAGGAGAAATAAGAATAATAATAGGGTGATGTTATGGGGTGAGAAAGGTAAGATATATACGATAAGTTGAATGGGGTTTCCCGCTCCTCCTACGCTCCTAAAGCCACTATCGCCTGAGCACTATTGTTGTTTATGTCGTCGTCGTTGCGTAGTCCACCGCCGCCGCCGCGAAGACTACGATTAAGACCACGGCGAACTTGTCGGCAGATAAAGGCCACTATCTCCGGTACCTATACGTCTCGGAATACCTCGTGGAGGAACGTCGTCATTCTGTCTATCCTATCTATCGATCGGCCCCCTAGCTCGGCGAACTATAGTTGGCTATGTCGGTTGGTAGCTATAGAGCGATCGTAGTGGTACTTAAGCGAGGCAATATGTATTAACACCGGCCGTCTGTTGTTCAGCTGCGGCCACCCTACTAGGTTGATAAGCCCCCGTCCCTCCCGGATATCGAGCATCCGCGGAGACAGGAATGGCTATCCACACGTCTTTAGGCTATCTATCGTCCCAAGGAGCCTTATGACTTTGGTGGGTAGCACTCTTTGATCGCTAGTGAAGCAAAAGTTGCCTAGTCGATCGAGGGCAGCGACGCCCTCGGAGAGGGCTATGCCCAAACCTTTCGATCCTCCCTCGCGGAAACGGCGGTCTATCTCCGCTATAGCCGCCTCTAGGACCTTGGCAAAGGCTACTAGTATACCCGGAAAGATCTCTGGGGGAAAGCGTCGCAGGACACCGGCGTAGAGCTGCTTCTCCTTAAGGAAGAGCCGCATAAGCTAGAAGATAGGCTATAGCACGGTGTCAAAGTTCCGGCGCTGGCGTATGAGCCGTGGAGCATCGATAGAAATTACCTGCTCGAACCGGAAGGCAAACTCGTTGGCCTATAGGGCCGCCTCGACTCTCTGCCGTTCCCGAGCGAAAGGCGTCGAGGTACTAGGGTTTTCGGGTGTAAGCTATCCTCGCACCTGAGCTAGTAAGCGCTGCTGTTTATCTCTGAGACGAGCTGTACGTTGAGCTTCGGTCGAGGGAATGGTGAGTGCCGCCGTCGCGAGACCGTGGCTCGCTAGTAGGTCGTCGGGCCGGTGACGGATCGACCGCTTCAGGTTAGAGTATCCCTGGAAGAACCCAAAGGAAAGCATATCGGCACCTTGGTTCTAGTGACTCATATTCTCCTTTATGACAGTGAATAGATCGCTGTCTAAGAAGGCGGGCGGGCGATCCGAGGCGAAATTCCCGTACGCAGGGTGGAATCCAAGAGGGTAGAAGGTATATTTGCTTCCGTAGAACTCACTAGCCACCCGGTTACGATTAGTAAGCAGGCACACCGCAGGACCTCTTCCTCCACCTAGATGCGTGCTTGCCGCGGTATAGTGGACATTAACAGCCAGAGCATAGGAGATATGACTGATGTTGTCGAGGTTGTACTTTGCCTCGAGGGCCTCGCGAAGCCGCCTTAAGCCATCGCTATACAAAGCGTCGTGTTCTCCCTGTCCACCCGATGATGATGATAATGATGATGGGGCCCCTCGATGGTCTTCCTCTTCCTCCTCTTCATCGCCATCAGAACGATGCTGATAAGCCAACCCGTCCTCTTCCTCTCCTTGCTATTATCGCTGTGCATTCGCGACGCCGGTCGAATGGGTCATGACGGCGCCTTTAGACTCATTCATCCACCTAATAAATCTCTCCTCCTACTCATCATCATCACCCAATACCTCCCCGTTCCCTCCCTCTTCTTCATCCTCGAGGCGATGGGAATAGTCGCCACTAAGCGGGGCCGACGTAGTCATAATAATACGCCTAGCACCGGCGGTAGCAGGCAGATCATGCTCCTCGCTATGACCGACCTCATCTTCTAATCGTCGATGACCTATCATCTCACTGCGGTCTGGGCCGAAAGGATAAGATAATAGCGATAGGGAAGCAGCACCGTGAGCCTCTTCCGGCAGGAAGAGGCTATCCTCCTCGGCGTTAGGGTGAGGATACTAATCATCATCACCATCCTCCTCCTCTTCCTCGCCCTGCTGCTCCCGTCCTTGTCGTAGTATTTCCTAACCGTCATCATTATTATTATCATTATCATCATCGTCTATCTCGCTATGGAGATGCGCTAGTCTAATGACAGTCTCCTACTCGAGATTTACTATCTCCTTATTGACCTTAATCTTAATATTTGCCCTATAGTTATACGCGTGGAAAGCGGGTTGGTGATCGAGCCAGAAAGTATCGCCGCCGCGGGCGGAAAGGCCCTCGATGAATTCCTCTTAGCCTTCCATGAAACGAGTCTGAAATGTGACCTATTTGTCGAATGCGATCATCTGAGCCTCCGCCCCTCTGAGGGCCTATCTCGGCTCGACCCCTTCGCTAAGAAGCTCCCCACGGAGAAAGATATCTTTGATATAGGATGCAAGCAATAAGGCATGACTATGCACGAGGGCAGTCCTCGTATATGCCGTATCATGCCATCGATAATAAGGGTTACTATTTCTAGAAGAAGCCCTCTAGATCAGGTGCATGACGATAAACCAAGCCTCTCGGGTAGCACCGGTAGCGATGCGAAAGGTATGGCCGCTTAGGTCGAAATAAATCCCTTGCATATACTTCGCACTATATAGCGCGTTCCAGTGCCGGAGGGAGATGGTGATATTGTCGAAGAAATGACTAGACCGGTAGATCGGTCGACGTGGCCGGCCGATGATATTAATAAAGTCGAGTCGAAAGACGGGGTAGTATTCATCTTCTTCGCTCGCCGGCCTCGATCCTATCTTCTTACTCCCGTAGTCGATGACAACTCGGCGTTATAGGAGGTCAAGAGCACGCGCCCCATCGAAAGCCTCATTGTTCGTCTCGGCAATGAACTCGTCAGCTAAGACCAGTCGTCAGCCAGTGCGGCGGCACCCCAAGTCAAAAAGCCAAAGGACGCTATTATACCGTACATCCAGGAATCACCGGCGTGGCGATTTATTCTCCAACCTCTCTGGAACTGTTCTATCGACTCTTCCGTGCTAGCTGCACTACTTCCGAGGCTCGTGGGCTCCTCAAGGTAGTGTTTATCGACTGAGAACGGGGAGATGTACTCTCGCGCCTCCTCTTAGTCGTCACTATCATCATTAACGTCAAGGTTATTAAGGTAAGCCTCAAGGCCGACCTCTTCTAAAAGCCCTAAATACGATATGGTTGAAAAGGTAGAACTCAGGTTGGTAAAAATAATGACGACGATGATGACGATGATGGAACACTGGGACTGAGGGTCGAGGAACTGCTCTTGACAGATAGATTGATTAATTGATATCATCTAACAAGACTCGGCAGGCCGATTTATAGAAGTTGGCCGGACGCGCATAACGCGCAGCTTCCCACGACTATATTAACCACACTCATCATCGGTAATACTATACCGTACAACGATGCTATTAATCATCATTCAGGCTTAGTTCTAAGCTAGTAGAGAGCAGGCTAGGACTCCTATCTATCCTCTGCTTCTTACCCCGAACGCGCCTATAAATAACCTCGAGCCAGCCGACCTAGGGGTAAGTGTCCGAGCGCGCGCGCGTGGCCGTGGTTAACTTATGAATACGAAGGGGTCGTTCTCTCCATCACTATTAATTATATCCTATTATATATTATATGACGTCGGACCTATTGCTATGCCCTGGCGGGTAGTAGAGACAAAGGAGAGGTAGAAATGAGGTGGCTTGCTCGTCATAGGCGCTATGGAACTCTGATCTCTGATATTATTCTCTATTACATCCCAAAGGAATAGGGGTTCCCTGCTTGCCTTTGAATCCTCCCGGCGCATCTGGACCTTTCTATATAGCCTCTTACGTTCTAGAGCTATTGATAAGCTATACTCACTTTCGCTTTTCGTCTGAGTCCTTCTTATGAATTCACGCAACCGACCAAAGCATATTTTTCACGAGCTGCTATTTGCGCCGGGCTATCATCAGCATTAGCATTAGCATTATAATCGTCGTACCTATTTTCCATATAATTATCGACTTTAATTTAAGAGATATAATAATAAAGATTTTTATATATAAAGTATTTTAAGTACGACGGCTCATATATTCACCTATGTAGTTATTCTCCGTAGTATATCCCGCTCGATATAGGGTAGCTCTAGCGCATCTGACTATCGACGACTTCCTGATGTTGCGGCTATTCTATGCATCCACGCCGCTGTCATCATTGACGATTATGACGACGCCGGCGCTTTTCTCTTGGTCGGATTAGGTCTACCCGGGTTGCGCCGGCCGCTCGGGAGGCTAACCCTCCCCCCGGGTGACTGAATATCCTTGGTTCCCCTCACTGGCTTTCCCGGCAGCCGTAGAGAACGACCAACCTCAGCCACGGGACGGAGCTGTTGTGGTGGTGAATAGCCCATAGCTCCTTGTCCCTGTTTGCCCCTATTATCATTATTACGGTTCCTTGATGATAATGATGATTGCAAGGACCGTGACGAGGGCGATACGGCCGTGTGGCTTGATTACTGCTGCTGCTGCTGCTGCTGCTGTATCAACGACAAGCCTGCCAGCCTAGCCGCCTCCCCGGTTTGACCGTTATACCCCTGAGCCCCGCTTATCTTATTGATTGGGTTAAACCTTTGCGAGGCTGAGGGCTATTCGATGCATTGGTTTGATGACATAGCGTTCTGCTGGGAAGCATATCCGTCCCGAACCTGGCTGCTGAGGCCCCTCTGCGGCGACGGCGTCTGCTGCTGGTGCTGGTGCTAGTGATCATCGGAGGAGGCTATGGCCGTCATCCCCGACAATAGCTTCTCATACCCCCGGTACGCCATTTAAATCATTCGCAATGCTTCGTTTAACCAAGGGGCTCTATCATTAGACTCATTGTTTTCCACTACTTTGCGATACCGGTCTGCCGCCTATATAAGAACGGTATAATCGATGTATGCGCTAAGTTCGGTAGAAGCATATATACCACGGAGTGCTAGGTTCTCCTTCACCTCGGGTATATTTCTAAGCTGACTATAGATGGCTCGCGTAATAGCCGATGCTAGTCCACGACGCGTCTCGCCGTCAGGGTGGTAAGCCTCATCTCCGCCGCGAAGATCATCGCCGACGCGCTCTAACACCGAATCCTGCTAGACTAGACGAAATGCCGGTCCAATGATATCCCGAACAATCAGGAAAAGGCCCACCCATAGATTATCAGCGGCGAAGCATTCTGCGTAGCTATCGTCGTATTCTTCTGGCATCAGGGCAAGATAGTGCTTCGTCGAAGGATCCTTAAACCTGGCCATATGGCGCCGAACGTAGTCGAGGACTTGCTTTTCTAGAGATCGGGAGCGCAGTTCCAACCAAGTTGCAACGTCATCATCACCCTCTTCTCTCAGCTAAGCCCACCAGTTGGCTCCATATGCGGCCGCCATCAACTCTTGAATGGCAGGCACTAGATCTTATCGCCTCAGTGGCTTATTATCCCTATTACGATTCACGATATCAGTGGGTATAGCATTGACCTAGCGCACGACATAGTCTATAACTCGTGTTATGGTCTCGCCTTTGTCCTTCTTTATCCTTAGGAGAGACTATATATCGGGAAAATAAAGATTAGAATGATATCGAAGAATATGGCGGAAAAGGTCGTGATAGGTTTTCTTGTTAAGCGAGGCGAGGAAACCGGCTTGGCGAGAGGTCTCTGTGGTAGGCATGGGGGCAGCCGAATCATCATCGTCATCGTCGCCGTCATCGTCGCCGTCGCTACTGCCGCGTTTCGGGTAGAAGAGCTAGCGTATGTCTGCGGCGGTACAGGTGTCGTTTCTGAGACTGGTGGCCAACTTGGCCTAGTCCGAGACTTGAATGGATTCGGCGGCAAGGTCCGGCAAGGTCTTAAGGGTTTTAAGCACCTAATAGAAGGTGTTGAACTAATACTACTCGTATAGAACGATAGGGTCGCTCGCGTTAGCCTTAGAAAGCTCGACCTAATTAAGGTCTACCATAATGATGATGATGATAATAAATTAATTGTACCTCCATAGGTGTAAAGTGTTACTCATATCATCGATTCTATAACTAGCTATATGATCCCATATGGAGATATTAAAGGTTGCCCTCCCTATCTAAGTTCTACACCAGCGGGTAATCATAGGCCTCTATCGCTCATTCTTCCACAGGGTAATAAGTCTACTAATAGGAAAGCGGGTCTCACTACGGAGGCAAAGAATATCTAGCATCCTTTTCTCGAGAGCTCGTTTATTCTTATTTTTCTAGTGGGAAAAAAGGGTAGGATCTCGGTCGGAGGCGGAGGCGAGCTATAGCCAGATCTGGCCATAACTATCGGGCAGAGTAAGGTCGCGACGGTTAACGCGGAGCTTAATATCTAACTCGACGGGGAGAGCATCTATGGTTTAAGAGAAGATTACGGCTAGTTAGCATATTTGCTTCGACCCGATGATAATAATAATGCGATGATAGTAAAGACGCACCCTTATTATAAAACTCGTAGACCCACCATAGATCGTCTAAGCCAGAACTAGTCTACTTTACGTAGTCTCGCAATGCTTTAATGCGATATTGGCCGGCTATAAGCTCAGGTTTCTCGTCGTTAACGTCGGCCCAGTGCCTAAATAACAATACATAGTGATATTTAGTTAGATCATAATAATAATAGGGATAACGATCTATTGCGGCAATGGTACTAATGATGCTATCGACGGCGGCTGCACTGCAGGTGACCTAGATATAATTCTCCTTAGCTCGATGGGCGAGATTCCCGTAGCGGAACGAGCGACAAAGGTGGGCGACATAATTACGGTCGAGGGGTCTGTTGCTACCGCGAGACCACGAGGATATAAGGAGGTCGATAAGAAACTCGGCAATGGCAAGGCGGTATGGCTCGGCCTGCCTTCTTAGTGAGTCGACCTCTATGAATGACGGCGGAGAAGGCTTCGGCGGTTTAGTAGAGTTAGAGGACGGTTATTATTAGTAGCTAGTAGATAGACCAGCGGGTAGGCCAGGCGGGGGATTAGATGCGGGCGGGGATAGAGTTGATAGCTAATAGTGATAATAATAATTAGGGGAAGATGGGTTATTATGGGTTGGG